CTTAAACTTGAATACACGAAAATCAGATTGAGACGACGACATTCTTACACACCCGATTAAGACGAGAGAGAAACCCTAATTGTCTTGTTGGGTCGTGAGCTGGGCTATATATGAATTCTGGAGTGGTCTAATGGGCCAATAAAATTAGATATGAGCCCAACATATAAGACAATAGTAAATTTTATTTTTATATATCAAGAACAAAATATTTTAAAGAATCTGGTATATTCCGTTAATTTTAAAAGATTTTGATATATTTTCTCAATTTTTTCTAATTATCCTCATATTTGGTCTAAGAAATATCGTTTTTTCCTGCAAAATTTGTTTTTTTCTGCAAGATTTTAAAAATAAAAGTAATGGTTTAAACCTTGAAATTAAAAAGAAAATGCGAAATAATAATTTATTTATCCTTCAATATAAATATGTAATCCGAATAGATAAGTGGCTAACCATCTAACAACAGTATCCATTATTCCGGTTTAATCACCATCTTCGGTATTTTGTCGACATTCTAGGGCTTCTCTCTTCCCTTCTCCGGCCAAAATTCTTACCCTTAGCTTATCTCAGAGGATAATCATGGACGCATTCACGGCGAATTTGGTTCAATCTTCCTCCTTACCGCGTCCACCTTCCAAAAATGTCTCTGGGTCGATTTTCATGACGTCAAGCTGTCCTGGGTTCATGAGATTCGGCTCTAACCCTCAATTTCGTCTCAGAGTATGTCTTCGTTTGATTCTCTTAAACCTAGATTGTTCAAACGAAATCGGATATTGTGTGTTTGATGTTCTGTAGAAACTTTTATGTGTAAAAAAAAATGGAACTTTTGGTTTCTTCGTATGTAATCTAAATCCGTTTGTCTCTGCTTGTAGCATAAATCGTCTCTAAAATTGTCGGGATCGTTGCAAAGCAGAACAATTTCTGTGAAATCTCGGAGAAGTTTTGTGGTTAAAGCTTCAGCTTCTTCTTCTGGTGATACTTCGACCGATTCGATCGCGCCACTTCAGTTGAAGTCTCCTGTAGGACAGTTTCTGTCACAGATATTAGTGAGCCATCCTCATCTTGTACCAGCAGCTGTTGAACAGCAGCTAGAACAGCTTCAAATCGATCGAGACGCCGAAGAACAGATCAAAGATGCATCTTCTGTTCCTGGAACAGATATTGTTCTCTACAGGTTTGTTACATGTTGATATTTGTACCTTTTTCGGATGTTTGTTAGGTTTGGAATTTGAGTTAGATTGTTTCTTTTTGGGGTGTTTAGGAGAATTGCTGAAGTTAAGGAGAAGGAGAGAAGAAGGGCTTTGGAAGAGATTTTATATGCATTAGTTGTTCAGAAGTTTATGGATGCTAATGTTTCGCTTGTACCATCGATAAGCTCGTCATCTGTGGATCCGTCTGGTCGAGTTGATACTTGGCCGACCCAAGATGGGGAACTTGAGAGACTTCATTCACCCGAGGTTTATGAGATGATTCAGAATCATCTTTCCATCATTCTTAAGAACCGCGTTGGTGATTTGACAACAGTTGCGCAGATAAGCAAACTCGGAGTTGGGCAGGTGTATGCTGCTTCTGTGATGTATGGGTATTTCCTGAAGCGAATCGACCAAAGGTTTCAGCTCGAGAAGACGATGAAGATTCTTCCAGGTGGTTCAGATGAAGGCGAAACTCGCATT